GAGTTATTTTTTAATTTACAAACAAAAAATCTTTAAAAGCGATTATTGACCAAAGGCATAGCAGTAACCAAAGCAATTTTTTTTTAAATTAACCCTAAAGATATAAACTAAAGTAATCTGGAATAAAATTAATGGTTTTTTACCAGCTAATATTTTTTTTTATTCATATAAGTTACAATATGGGTTATGGCGAAGAAATCCTATGAAATCGATAACTTGACTTTGCTATCCAAGTTTAAAACCTCTAATATTCATCCAATTGCAAACAACATCTTTTAATTAAATTAATGACTTGTCAATAGTCAATACTTAAAATTTGTGCACTAACCCTTAGATATTAAATGTGAAAACATGTGTTTTAACTGTAACCGGTACCGTATACTAGGCTGTACATAAAATTAAAGCTGCAGTAAATGATAGGCTATACCAATTATGTACTTACAAAGAAATGTATTTATTATTTATACAAGGGCTTATTGGATTAGAACATTTTTGTGATAATCATAAAGGCCTTTAACAGTAGAGGAGTTACCTTAGTTTTGGATATGGGTGCGTGTGAGCCTCAACATTTTCTTACAATGCAAGTCAGCAGCTTGAACTTCCTTTTCAGGAAAATAATACATCCTCCTTGAGCCTTTAGTTGTAGGTGGATTGACACTTGAAATTATGTTGCATAGGCAAGTAAAACAATTTTGCTGGTCCGTATGTAGAAATTTAACTTTAATATCACACTCAATGTCTTTTTTTTCTCATGACTAATCCGAAACACCAATTGTCATCATAAATGCTCAATGTAGTCAACCAAGCTATTGTCCTGTTAGATTTCAGCAAAAACAATTCCTATGTAATCTTACTAATATAAATGTGAAAGTTTGTGTCTTTGTTTGTTTGTTTGTGTGTTTGAAATTCAATCACGCATAAACCACTGGACGGATTGGGCTGAAATTTGGCATGATGATAGCTTACATTCCCGATTAACATATAGGCATATTCTTCGCTCAACCAAACTGGAGCGGAGCCCGAAAGGATTTTTGAGGTAAGAATATGCCTATATGTTAATCGGGAATGTAAGCTATCATCATGCCAAATTTCAGCCCAATCCGTCCAGTGGTTTATGCGTGATTGAACTTCAAACACACAAACAAACAAACACAGACACAAACTTTCACATTTATATTAGTAAGATTACATAGGAATTGTTTTTGCTGAAATCTAACAGGACAATAGCTTGGTTGACTACATTGTGCATTTATGATGACAATTGGTGTTTCGGATTAGTCATGAGAAAAAAAAGACATTGAGTACCTATATTAAAGTTAAATTTCTACATCCCCACGGACCAGCAAAATCATTTTACTGGCCTATGCAACATAATTTCAAGTGTCAATCCACCTACAACTAAAGGCTCAAGGAGGATGTATTATTTTCCTGAAAAGGAAGTTCAAGCTGCTGACTTGCATTGTAAGAAAATGTTGAGGCTCACACGCACCCATATCCAAAACTAAGGTAACTCCTCTACTGTTAAAGGCCTTTATGATTATCACAAAAATGTTCTAATCCAATAAGCCCTTGTATAAATAATAAATACATTTCTTTGTAAGTACAATTGGTATAGCCCATCATTTACTGCAGCTTTAATTTTCTGTACAGCCTAGTATACGGTACCGGTAACAGTTAAAAACACATGTTTTCACAATTAATATCTAAGGGTTAGTGCATACATTTTAAGTATTGACTATTGACAAGTCATTGTAATTTAATTAAAATATGTTGTTTGCAATTGGATGAATATTATAGGTTTTAAACTTGGATAGCAAAGTCAAGTTATCGATTTCATAGGATTTCTTTGCCATAACCCATATTGTAACTTATATGAATAAAAAAAATATTAGCTGGTAAAAAACCATTAATTTTATTCCAGATTACTTTAGTTTATATCTTTAGGGTTAATTTAAAAAAAAAATTGCTTTGGTTACTGCTATGCCTTTGGTCAATAATCGCTTTTAAAGATTTTTTGTTTGTAAATTAAAAAATAACTCAAAATTTAAATTTAGCAATGCATTACATATAAATGTGAAGAAATAACTAGCCAAATGTATTTTTTCTATAATCCTCTGATTTTTTTGAACATTTTGGTGAAAAAACTATTGCTTTATGTTAAATATTGTAGAAGTTATGGATTTTTTTATATAAGAACGTCACCGAACCTTTTCGCCTCGGAAGCGCCGTTATAAGTGTATTTAGCAAAATTTCAAAAATTCATAACTCAAAAACTATTTAAGATAATTTTTTAAAACTTGGTGTATCTTATTAAAATGGTCAAATGAACAAATAAAAAAAATTTCAGCCAAATCTGAGGTCATGGGTGACATTTTATTTTTTTATTGGATGATTTGAAATGGAATGACCCGGAGGTGTTATAAAAAGAAAGCATGCCGACCAGATGAGACAAAGAATGGGAGCTGTAGAATCTGCCTAAAAAGAAGGGGGGGAAAAGTGTTAGATAGTTAAATCTGTAAGTGATTAAGTCATCAGCTGATTTATTATTATTAAGTTTGTTGGTAAATATTCTGTTTACATTGATGTGTTTAAGAATTAAATAAAATGGTTCTTTTGTATTTTGAATATCATTTAGTGTAATTCTATAACGCCTTCCCTGCTATACAGTAGTTTTTTACTTCCTGGCATAATTAGTGCCGCCTCACTCTGGTATGTGTAGAAAATAAAACGTGCAGCCCTTGGCCATCTAATTCATGCGTGCCATAACGCATGTACTCTGTTTATCTTGTTGAAGGCATTGTCAGCATCAACCATTATCATACAGCTGTCTTCTTCAGTTTGACATTTTTCTTCATATTGGTCTCTCATAAAAAGTATTGCGCCTTCTATTCCTGCTTTTAATCCTACACAGAGTTGATCAGTGCCACATATGTCAATAACTTCATCACCAGCTGCAAAAATTATGCATTTTGCTAAGATACGGCGGAGCACTTCTCCGATACCGACCGGTCTAACACCAGGGCATTTGTCGATTGCAACCAAACGATTAGCCATAAGTGCTTGTATTTTTGACCAAGGTATGATTTCTTCATTTATCTTCATTGCTAATTCAGCAATTGACGCTCTTAAAAAAGCACTTTTTCTACCATGCCTTAGTAAAAAATCTGTCCATTGTTCAGAAGTACTCCCGCCAGGCCCACCACTCTCATGCAATTTTCTTGCAACTTTTTCTACATGTTCAGCTGTAATCTCAACTGACTCCAATCTAGGCATTTCTTTTACATGGCTGGGTAGTTTTAGCAATTCCGGATCAGGCATTGTGCCATTTGGATGTTTTTCTTTCAATACATCAAATACTGTGCGTCTATCACCATCTATTATAGTATCAGGACTTAATATGCCTCCTTTATTATCTTGACTAATAATCCGAGATGCTTCTTTTATTTTTCCTCTTTGAACTAATCTATTGAATTTAGTTTTAATGAACTCTTCATTATCATTGTATTCGGCTTTACCCTTTGATTTTAGGGACCTATTACATCGAATCGCTTCATCTATTAATTCGTCATAACATCTATTAGTACACTTATCAAGTCTTCTTTCAATAAATTTTCTAATATCTTTCGCCTGTCTCACCATCTTTTCTTTTTGTAATATAACAGCAATGAAACATATGAATCGCTCGGAACATTCTTGACCATTAGCTAAAAGTAAAATTTCTTCCCCTAACATTTTCACAAATCCGTCACCTATAGAGCCACATGGTAGGTCGTATTGTAATCTATTAATATGTATGATTTTTTCCCAACGAGACTTCCAATCTGAGGTAATTTGATGTTCTTCTATAGAATTACTTATGTTGAAAGATTCTACTAAAATTTTACATTCATTCAAGTTATCCAACTGTAAAAGCTTTGGTTGATACAATGTTTCAGAATTTTTCAGAGGACAAGGTGTTTTAGGTGGAATGGGTATGTTGATGAAACAGCTTCTCTTATTCTTTTTAATTTTAAGTGCATTATTATCATAGTATGGATTGTCAGTATTTGGTAAATAATCTTCAGATCTAACATTGCCTTTACAATTTTTACTATGAATTTTAAAGGCTCTTTTAGTATATTTCTTTTTACAATTGGGACAAAAATCGTATCTATCTGTGTCAAACAGAGACAAAGGAGAAGGTTCGGCAGATAATTGTGAAATTTCTGACGTAGCATCTGTAAATTCTGGTGTCACATGCACTTCTGATAAAAGCACATCTTCATCAGGGCACCGTGACTCACTCAAAAAACTGCTGTCGTCACCTTGCCACTTAAAACAAGGTCTCATGTATCTTTCGTCTCTGCCCATGGTTGTCTGATATAAACCGGTGGACGTGCTTGGAATGTCAGATCTTGCCCCTCTAACTGTTGAACAACCAGAATTAGGTTCTTGCCATGGTCCGGGATTTGATTCAACATCCCCACAAAGGAGTATTAAAGTAATTAGTATTGCAAATGTGTAATTAACATTTCTGTATTTACTTTTATGAATTAGTTTCCAAATTCGTTTGTGTTTTCCATACGAAATCCTTTCTAAACTATTAATGTCATAATGCATTGACTGTTGATTAAAGTTAATTGCCATCATCATACAGTTCATACTAGGGAATTTACTTAATGTCTCTCTATCTTCCCAAGAATACAAAGAATCCAATACACAAAGACGAATTAAAAGAAAAATTCTTAATAACAACATATCTTTCTTCATGTTTGTTCTTACTGGATTGTTTATAGGTTAGGATAGACATAAATTGGTTTATGGAACTATCTATGATAGGTACTCAATTTCAGATTGTAAGGCTTTGACTCAGAGAAAGCCAAATTGAAAAAAATTAGATTTTGCAGGTAAAGTATTTAAAGTGACACGTACAAAACTGAAAGAAAGTTTTTTTTGTGACCTCTGCTTGTCAAATGTAGCAAAAAATTACAATGTGATAATAAAGATCTTAATATTTTCAGGTTGGGATGGAGCAGTTACTTTTTATTGTAGCAGCAGTACATTTAGTTTACTGCCCTTTTACCAAAGTAGAGGAGAGTTTCAATTTGCAAGCAATGCATGATATTCTTTATCACAAATTCAATCTTTCGGAAGTAAGTGATTTTTTGTACAAGTAAAAGATTTGTTGTAGGATTCTACTATAGGTAATTAGTATATTACGCTTTTCCAATTTTTATTGTTAAATGCAGTCTGGATTGTTATTAATATTTTTGGCTTTATGGTATCTTTGTTGAGAACCTACTGAACAAAAGTTATAACCAAGCCTCTTTGCACTGTAAGAGTACTTAGTAAATTTATCAAGTCTCAGATGATTTTAAAATTTGTGTACAAAGGCTTTTTGTAAACAATGACTTTTTCCTACAGTCACCCGACAAAGTTGGCTTCCTTGTACTGTTTATAGTACAGAAAGCTGCTAATTGCTGCATATTTATACTTTGCCGTAGGGTTTATACTTTGTCGTATGGTTTATACTTTGCTGCACATCAGGATTCCAACGAAACAACACAAAACAGTGTGGTTCTATTATGCACGTAATCCGTGTACGCTTGGAAATAGGTTGGCAACACTTAAAGATAATACAATCTTTTTTCTATGAGCAGCTGATTGACTATTATAACTACGATTTAACCTGTCATTTTGTGTTTATAGTTTCGGTATTTCTGAACTTTCTGGACTTTTCTTTTAAACGTTTTTAAAACATTCCTACGATCTTAATAAACAAGAAAATACCTTTAAAGCATTTTTTTAGGCGTGGAAACCCTTTCAAATTACAAAAACATACGGAACTATATTCTCAAAACGCGGAACACATTTCTTGCCGAGGAAAAATAGCGGAGTGATACGGACCGCGGGTACTACTTTCTCTAGAGCACCATTTGTGTTGCCAGCTGAACCTAAAAACGTGTTGTATAGTGTTTGAAAGACTAATTATTTATATGCTTTATAGTGACTGTAGGAAAAATATAATGTGTAACACGAGTGCAAAAGGCCTTTGCTGCACTCGAGGTCATTCTGCACTCGCCTGCGGCTCCTGCGTAAACATTGCTCTCGTGTGCAGCAAAGTGCCACTTTGCCCACTAGTTACACAAATAACTATTTTCTCTACCGAGAGACCGGAAACCATCTGCTTACTGCATAATGTGGCAAAAAACAATTGGACTTTTTGGTTTTTTTCTGTTTTCTGTTCAAAGTAGTCCTATGTTGTCTGTTAAATTTTTGAAATGTATGTAGTAATTAATAGAAGTGGCTAGAAGGTTTCTCCGTACATTATATTCTTGATATTTTGAACAAGAAGGCTTACTCCTAAAATGGTTAATATAGCCTACTCAACTAAGGCCCGATTTCACCAAATTCGGTTAGATACCGCTTCGGTTAAAACTAACCGATGATTTAAACCACAGTTAAGGAAATCTGGTTTCACCAACGAAAACGCGACAAAACTAACACTGGTTTTATAAACGAGAGTTTAGAGTAAAATCCAGGTGGCAGTGGCAGTGAACTGTCATAATACCGGGCTGTTACGGGAGCAAGTAAACATAACCTAGAAAATAAATCAGTGTTTATGAGGTAGTGAAAACAAAACTGGAGATAGCAAGCTTACAGGAATACAATAGATTCTGAGCAAAATAACAACAGAAAGGAAGAATAAATACCAAAACAATTAACAATTAACCAAATAAAGGCAAAGCAATGTTGATCAAACATATTCGAGGAACAAATTGGTTGAGTTTTGCGGTCGAGTCAAGACTCAAAATCCAACTTTTTACAGGGATGTTCAATATTCTGTTTGTTCACTAACCGGTTTGGTACATTTGAAGTAGTGAAAAAAAAAAACTGGAGACAAAAGAATTACAAGAACGAGACACAATAAAGATAACACCAAAATAATTATTTTCTATAAAATACTAGCAGAATAATGACAATTTAGGTTTAGATTTTGCTTTACTTACGTCTGACCGAACGCAAAACAATTGTTTGAACGTTGGGTTAGGGTTACCCAAAGCCGGGAGAAGGAAAAGGGAGCCTATTTTTTGAACAATAAAATAATAAAGTTGATAATATTGGTAGAAGAGCCGGGACACTCTTTTTAGCCGAGATAAAATAGTACGGCTCTTGATCGCCAATCAGTTCAATGCGGTCGCTGATCACAGATATACGCCTTAACTAAAAACCTTGTGGGATAACCTAAATGCACTATGTGGGATAGCCTTGTATTCATTTCCTAAATGCTAAACGTTTTGATAGTTCATATCTAATAATAAAATTAATTTCATCTTTGTTATTAAAATCATTAACCCTTTCTCTCATCCACCTAGTTCGGCGAACAACATAGGCTACTCTTCATTGCCATCACTTACTTTCAAAAGCTAATTCGTACCGTATTCTCTTCTACCATTTCGCATTTCCATATAAACTTTAAACTTAAAGCCAGCTGATATTTAATTAACTAAGGATTAAAGAAGTTAACCGGTCAAAATTGGGCAGTTAATTATCTAATGACGGTTTAGTCTAAACTAGCTCTAACGGCGGGTGGTGAAATCTGATTTCGTCAGTTAAGAGTTAACTGCAGTTAGAGCATGGTTTAACGGCGGTTTAAGTGTTTGGTGAAATCGGGCCTAAGACAAAAAAAGCAACCCAACACCACAATTTCCCATTAAGCTGTGAAAATTTTGTGAGTGTTTTATCTTATAAGAAATAGAATTGTTTCTTTCCAAGAACATCAGACAATAGACAATATTTGATATATAACATACAATAGATCATGTTTAATAATTTTACTGATATGAATAACACAGCCAATTACATATACAGCTAATAATACTTTTAAGACATCCTGCAAACTATCAAATGTATTGTCTAACAACCAGACCTTGACTAACATTGATGAATTTTGTCAGTGTTTGCATGTGTTTAGTGCAAGATTACAAAGGTTTTCTTTGGTACGAATTAGACATTCCAGGGCTTACTGATTCACAACTGTTCAAATGTGTTTGTTCCATTTTAAATTGGCCTACAAAGCTAAAGATGGTGGGAATTGGTAATTATTCTACAGTACTTTTCTTTGTTGCTGTAAAAATATACATGAGTGCTATTACCCCCCTTATACAAACATACAGGCTTTTGTCAATTATATGGCTGCATAAAAGGTGTACATTTTGGATCATAAATATTACGAAAAGTAATTTTTTTATTATTTATATTAACAATGAAAAAAAGAACACGAAACCCAATGGTTACACTAGAGTGTGATGGTTTCAAGAAATGTAGTTTTGCTTGTTTCTGTTCATTTTGAACTGATCCTATTAGATTCATCCCTTTAAATAGTAAAAAAAGTAAAGTGATTTTCTTATTTATTTTTGACACTTCAAAGAACAAAGATTCTTCTTGTCAGATACCGGTACAGAAATGATTGAATTGTGTATAGTACTATTTATAGCTTTGTTGTCTAGAGTAATTTACAAAAAAAAATTATTTGGTTAATGATTGTTTCAGTATGACCATCATGAATTCCCAGGCGTTGTTCCTCGCACATTTATTGGACCTATGGCAATATCAGTTCTTTCTTTACCTATTTATTCCGTTATCAGTTCTCTTGGCCTCAACAAGTTTACAACACAATATTTGGGTATGAAAACTTTGTATTAATCAAACATGTTGTTAGTTTGCTGGGTTGTATTAGTTACGGAAAGTAAATAAAAGAAACGTCTTATAACACTTAAAACATATATTTACACTTATACTGTTACTCTCAAGGTAAATATACAAAAAAGATGGTAAGTGGTGATCGATTTCGATTGGACCCAATCATCGTCAGACCCAATAGGCGAATCTGATATGGATTAGCATTTACAGATCATCACAATCTGTTGGTGGCTCACATCAACTACGACGAATTTAATTTAAAAACTGGCGACAACTTCAACATGGGGATGGAATGTCTAGTTGTAAGTCAAAGGTACAGGCTTCTCTATTTTCACCCCTCACTGTAAATAAAACATATGATTGTAATTTCTTACATTTGTTTTGATTTTCTGTTTATATTTCGTTGTTATTTCGTCACCAGCATGGTAACCCATAAAGCCCATGTTAATTGTTATTACATTTCAAATTCATTTTTTGTGCTTATATTTGAGCCTATTTTAATTTTAAAGGGATTCTGCATATCTACAGGAAAATATATTTCTAACAGTATGCGTAGATTTTCTCTGTGATGCACACGAGATGAGAAAAAAGGTTTTAAAGAAACATGCTTGCCTATTAATATATAGATAGATAGATACTTTTAAATTAAATGGCAACCATTAATATATAGATAACATTATGTTTAAAAAGTACCTAGGTTTGCTGCTACAGGTAAACTATTAAAGTGTGTTTTTGATTAAGTTTAATCAAAATATATCCATAAACAAGCCAACGACTACAACATTTTACAACATTCTCCATAAGAATAGCATGGGAATTTTAATTGAACAATTTTTTAAATTTTCTCTGTAACCAATAACCATACAAAAACATTTTGATATGCTAAATTATTTGTTTTTTTAAGCTCTTTAAAAAGGTGTGAAGAAAAGTTGATACATTTTTTGGTTCAAGGGCAAAAATTGAGAAAAACCCATTTTTACCCCATAAAACCCGCTAAACAACGTTCCCATGGTCCGATCATGCTGGTTCGCAAACTTATTCAAGTTTATCCCGCCTTACACTCCAAACCAAATTTCATCAAAATCGTACAAAAATGACTCAAGCTAGAAAAGTTGTCCGGACGGACACACACACAAATCTATATATAGATATATATACATACATTTGTAAAAATTTTAACGAATAGTTTTTTTTGGCCTCGGGGACATCAAAATGAAACACTAAATCGGTCCCGGGCCTAGGTCTTACCATGAGACCTACGGTAATAGCTACTTTATAGGGAAATTCGCTAAAACACAATTTTCAAAGTTATTACACTTTACAGTTTTTTTATTAGTTTAACATTATATGAGTAATAATGTTGCCTGTTCAATGATAAATTTCTTACAATTGTTGCAGTTAGAGCAGTATTGGGCACTTGTGTGATAATGAGTCTGCGAAAGTTTAGACTTACTGTTCAACATATGTTTGGACCGGAGCTGGCCAGATGGTTTATAGTCATCACTGCCTCACAGTACCACTTCATGTTTTATCTCAGCCGTCCACTCCCCAACATCATCGCCTTGCCCTTGGGTAAGATAGAGTAATATGACTTAGAAAATACTGGATTTTGAGTTATGATGTTCAGCCTTACGTTTGGTCTCCTCAACACTGTAACCTTTTCAAAACTAAATCCGAACCATCAGAAGTTGATACTAATAAGTAAATAAGTTTTAAGATGACACATTATTAGCATTACACTATTAAATAATAATGGAAAACAGCAATAAATTGTGTTCATCCAAGGAGAAAGAGATTTGTGCGATTGCATATGTCATACACAAATAGCCGGCTAAACCAAAAACACTAGCAGGGGCGCCGAGCCCCCCCAAGAGCAATGGCGCATGCCCCCCCCCCCAAAACCAAGCCAAATGCTCCTCCTAAATCTAATCAAATATACAGCCGCATGTCTAAATACTATACACTCCCATAGTATGTAACTGACTCACGAACGATACACTTCCAGAGGAGGTAGAAATTTGGTACGATTGTAGGTCTTGGGTCCAAACCACCGAGAAAATTCCAAAAATTCACATTTTAAAATTTTACAATTTCTAAAATTCTACAAGTCACACCCCCATAAACCATATACTTCAAATGTTCGTCATAACGAGAAACCTTGCGCCAAACTATCCATTACTTCATAAATTGACCCTATAAGGTCGTAATTGCTTTCCAAAGGGAACTTTCCATTTACATAATGTTAAAAATACCTCAGCTGGGCCCTGTTTCATAAAGATACTAGTCTAGTAATTACTAGTCTAGTAAATACTAGTCCCGTATTTACCTGTCCTACTAATTTGTGTTTCATAAACGTTTTTATACCTGTGATAATATTTTGCCTTCCTTCTGTTCCTTGTTTAATTTGTTCAAAACTATTGTATTGTAAAACATATGATTTAATCTTTGTTTACATTCAGTCAAAACACAAAATGTTAGGATACTTGTTGTAGTACAGTTTTAGTTGATTAAAACTAGGGGTGTGCGAGTATTCGAACATCGAGCTTTTTCGAGCCGAATAGGACGCTATTCGGCTCGGCTCGTGATTTTCAAAAAGCTTGAAATGTTCGAGCCGAATACTTATTGAACTAGCAAATAAAAATTAAATTAATAAATAAGGAACTAACTTTCATTTAAATTTACTCTCCTCCGTTTCATAATTGTGTCTTGATAAGCACGAACCTCAGCTCTCAGTCAAGACGCAATGATTATCGATCGTAATTTTGAGGAAACTACCACCTATCGCGTTGTCTTTCTAACACAACTATTCGTATCGTAATATACAACGCAGTGCGAGTGCGTGATTGGCTAAGTAGCTATGACGACACACGGTTGCCGTGGCAACCTACAGTGCGCACTGAGCACTGCGCCTTGTGTGGGAGGGGAGATTATACCAACAAACTATTTCAGGAATTCTATTTTGGGACGGATGAAAGATAAGGAAGAAACAAAAAGTGGTCACGTGTGCAAATGTAGTGGGCGAGACAATAAGCTGTAAACGAGTATCGTCGTGTCGTTGTTCCTTGTTTGTTTACTTTTTCAGATTCCTTATTATCAAACGTCCCTATCTGCTATCTCTCTTTCTCTCTCTCTCTCTAACAATGTACTGATTAAACAGATAGTGGTTGACGACTTTTCTACTTATAAGTTTCCCTGCGGTTATTTTAGTTCAATCAATCCCATAACCTTTCTAATGTTTATCAAAATAATTAATTAATATGTTTTGTATTTTATTTCCTTTAAACCAACCCCTATTTACCATCTGTATTTTATAGAATAAAATGTTTGTTTATAAAGTTTGACTGGCCACACAATTTTGTACCTATTTTATTTTGTATAAAGTAACAGTTACTTTGAGTATTATATATATATATATATATATATATATATATATATCAATAAGTGGCGCGTGCTGTAATGAGTGCTTTTTATTATCAAAATAAGTAATGAGTTATTAATTTTTGATAGTACATGGGTCATTGAATACCATAATGTGTGTAGTTTCCTATTTGTATCTTGCAAATAATAATAATTGATAGTTAATTCTGGAAATGAAAAATAGTGATCGCATTCATAAACCTGTTGTCAAAACAGCAACGAGGGTGTAAGGGTTTATTGTTTCAGACGCAAGGGTGTTTCAAGGACAAAGTGTTGGGCCACCCGGATTGGGGGGGAAGGGGGGGCGGTGAGACTGTGTGAAGGGGAGGAAACTGGTTTTGGCTATTTATTGATTAGTTCGCCGACCCTTCTAGATAACAAAATTGAGTGACAGTGTTAAATCATCGTGTTCTGCATTTCATTTCTTGTTTACTTTGTGTGTTATTCTATTAATTCTAGTGCTTTGGTCTATTTCCTCTATATGTCAATTATATATTTTTTAATATATAAGTAAAACTTGTCTCTCCACCTTTTTGGATCCAAACCAACCATGTTCTTTTTTAATTAATAGGATTCATAAAACAAAAATATTTTGTGCATGGAAAACAACAAGAATAATCATGTGTTTTTAAATTTATTTTGTATTTATTTATACAAAATAGAATTAAATATTCATAGTAGTTACAATATACATATGTAATCGACTTGCTAGTTGTTTTGTCGTCATTCAAGGTCGCGTTGCTGTTCTGTTATGAAAGACAATCTGATTGTCTCAGTCTGCACTGCATATCTCTTCAGGCCTTCAATCGATATCCTTTTATTTCTTGCATCTTCATTTAGTTCAGTTCAGTTCTTATCGTGATTATCTACTATTTGATGTCTTGACAATTCTCAATGTTTTTAAACATATTAAAATAACATTGTGTTTATTTAAAAATTGACTGAACATTATTATTATTATGCACGTTTTTAAGAAAAAAAGTTTAATAATTAAGATAAGGTTACGCTAGGAAAAGCTCGGCTCGAAAAAGCTCGAGCTCGAACATTTTTTAAAAAGCTCGGCTCGGCTCGGCTCGAGGTTGAAAATCACTATTCGCACACCCCTAATTAAAACCTTATTAATCTGAGGTATTTATCATTACAATTAAATCAACTATCTCAACAACGAACTGAAGACTATGGATAAACTTCTGAAACCCGGGAAACTTAATATTGACCCTAATACAAACAATGCACAAGAAGAATGGATACACTGGTACAGAACATTTGGCAATTTCATTGATTCCTTGACGCCTGCACCAAATGACAAGATGAAACTCAATTTTCTCGTAAACTTTGTTGGACCAAACGTTTGTTTACGGCTTCATATCAGAATGCAAAAAATATCAAGAAGCAATTGGAATTTTGAAAAAATTATATGTAAAACCTAAGAATGAAATTTATGCCCGGCATCGACTTGCCATGCGAATGCAGAGGGCTGAGGAATCATTAGATGAATTTTTCCAAGCACTGAAAATCACTAGTAAAGAATGTAACTTTCAATCAGTTACGGCGGAACAGAATCGCAGTGAAAATATCAGAGATGCTTTTATCACTGGGCTTCGATCAAATTATATACGACAAAGATTGTTAGAGAAATCAACACTGTCGCTTGAAGAGGCTTTTGACCAAGCAAGGAGTATCGAAGTAGCTCAAGTTCAAGCAGAGTCGTACTTAAACAGTAGATTAAATGCCACCACTCAAATCACGCAGTCAAATCGCGCAGAGAGCAATAGTGCGAACTCAAGCCAATCACCTAACGAAGCAAATTTGGGGGACAATACTTTGTTTTCAGCTGCAGTACCGTCTCAGAAGTGTTATTTCTGTGGAGAAAACAGACATAAGCGTCATGTTTGTCCTGCAAAAAACTTCAAATGCTATAATTGCAATAAAATTGGCCATTTCAGCCGCGTCTGTAGATCAAAGAAAGAGAATGTAGATAGACCTAAACCCTTGGGGGGAAATTCCGCTAGTATTTGTGCACTGTCAAATAATAATTCAAAAAGTGTTTGTGCTTCATCCCCTCCGGTCTTATCTAAAGCTACAGTATCAGTGAGTAAAGGTAAACTCCACTCTGGCTGATGCTTTGATTGATACAGGAAGTTCTGAGAGTTTTGTCAGCAAACAGTTTGTTCAACATCACATCTTGCCATGTCGTCCTGGAAAACTTAGTGTAGCTATGGCATCCACATAACTTAATTCTGAAATAAATGAGGTCTGTCTGGCAAAGTTAGAACTTTCAGGTCACGTTTATGAGAACGTAAAACTGTATGTCATGAAAAATCTGTGTGCTGACGTTATAATTGGCCACAATATCTTACGAAATCACTCAAGTCTTAAAATGACATTTGGTGGAAACAGTGCTCCTCTCAAGATATGTGGCCTCGCTCAAGCTGGAATTGAACCGATTCAGTTGTTCACGAATTTAACTCCCAACTGTAAACCTATCGCAATTAAGTCGAGACAGTTTTCACCTGAAGATAGTGAGTTCATAAAAAAGTTAATAGAATGCAACAAGAGGGTATCATAGAAGAGAGTCAATCACCTTGGAGAGCAGAAGTTCTGGTTGTTAAGGGAGAATCCAAGAAGAAGAGGATGGTTATTGATTACTCCCAAACTATCAATAGATTCACTGAGCTAGACGGATATCCTTTGCCGAAAATTGAAACAATTGTCAACGAGGTGGCTAAGTACAAATTTTATAGCACCATAGATCTGAGCTCAGCGTATCATCAAATACCAATTGTGGAAGGTGAGAAACCATACACCGCCTTTGAGGCAGATGGTCGATTATTCCAATTCAAACGAATCCCGTTCGGAGTAACTAACGGAGTGCCTGCTTTCCAAAGAGTCATTAACGGAATCATATCACAGGAAAAACTAGTAAAAACCAAGGCTTATTTAGATGACATTACTATTGGGGGAGACAGTGAAGAAGAACATGATCGGAACCTTGAAGCCTTCCTAGCGGTTTCCCACAAGTATAATTTGACGATCAACAATGAAAAAAGTAAGTTTCGCCAGAAGTCAATAAACTTACTTGGGTACCTGATATCTTATCGTTCCATCAAACCTGATCCTGAACGTCTCCGACCACTTATGGAACTCCCAGTACC